CAGACACACATACACACACATACACACACACACTGACAGACACACACTACACACACACACTGACAGACACACTCACACACACACTGACAGACACACTCACACACACACACACATACTGACAGACACACATACACACACACACACACACTGACTGACAGACAGACACACACAAACTGACAGACACTCACACACTGACAGACACACATATACATACACACTGACAGACACACACACACACACACTGACAGACACTCATACACATACACACACACTGACAGACACACATACACACACACTGACAGACACACTCACATACACACACACTGACAGACGCACACTCCGCACACACACACTGACAGACACACCACTCACACACTGACAGACACACCCCTCACGCGACAGACACACTCCTCACACACACTGACAGACACACACACACACACTGACAGACACACACACATGTACACATGTACTCACATGCACACACGCACATACTGACAGACACACTCACTCACACACACACACTGACAGAACCACACACACACACATATATTCACATACACACATACACACACACACACACATACACACATATTCACACACACTCACACACACACTGACAGACACACCCACTCACACACTGACAGACACACCCACTCACACACTGACAGACACACTCACTCACACACTGACAGACACACATACACACACACTGACAGACACACACACACTGACAGACACACTCACTCACATGCACACACACACTAACAGTAATTAATCATCTAAATTAAATTAAAATTTCCCACCCAGCCTCCCTACCTGGAGAGCTGGCGTGGGTCTCTCATTGGTGGTCCAGTGGGGCTGCCGGGAGGCGTGCGGCTGAACTGGATGCCGAGTTGGCGAGGGAGCTCTGATCTCTCTGATCTGCTCCTGTGCAGGCTGCTTACTGATGCCGCGGGAGCCGGAATATGACGTCATCAGTAAGCAGCCTGCGAGGGAGCAGATCAGAGAGATCAGAGCTCCCTCGCCAACTCGGCATCCAGTTCAGCCGCACAATGCGCCGGGGATCCAGGAGGTGACCTGGCAGGAGGGAGCACTTCCCTCCTGCCGGTCACTGGAATTTTGCGCCCCCTGAGCCGGTGCGCCCTAAGGCGGCCGCCTGTGCCACCTTATGGACGCGCCGGCCCTGCTCAGGGGGTCCAACAGACTTGTTGCAGGCCCATCTATGGGGTAGATATGTGATGGATGGCCTGATTTGTTTGGCGCGGTCCACAGGCTTGCGGCACCATTTTTGTGACTGTTTTCCATGTGTCTAGATGTCGCTGTGTTGTGTGCCTGTATTCTACATAGAGCAGTGTGTGTCGGTATATGCAGCTGTGGATCACCAAAGGGAGGCAGCAGCTTTACCGACTGTAAGTATAGTTAAGTGTGAAATTGTGAAATGCATTCTGTGTGTTAGTCAAAGTAAATTCTGCGGGAGCCAGCAAGTCTATCTACATATCAAAGGACTTCCTATCTAAGAGGAACTCAGGTTGTAAGCTCTGTCCTTCCATACAATCAAATAACCCCTTTTTGAAATGTTAAAATGGTGTGTGGGGGTTTGGAACTATTGTGTATTTCTTTGTACCTGAGAGGAGACTGAATTGCCTCTCAGGCAAATAGGATCATGGGAGGGATTGCCCTGGGGTGTTGGGTTGGAAACCCTTTGCTTAGGGCTTTTGCATAAGTGGATTTCTCTGTACCTGAGAGGAGACTGAATTGCCTCTCAGGCACAGATGGTCATGGGAGGGATTGCCCTTGGGGGGTTGGGTTGGAGACTCCTTGCATGGGGCCTGTGCATAAAAGCCATGTGTAACCAATAAACATCTGTTCATTCCTGTTGTACCCTACATCAAGTCTCAGCTGATGTTTGGGTAATCACTACTTCACTTGGGAGTTGGGAGAATCACAATGGATATACTCAGCCGGAGTATATGGGATACATTACACTTTTTCTTCCATATATCACATATTAGTCATAGTATTTTAAGTAGCAGAAATGTAAACTTTTTTTTTTTTTAAATTGCAGGGCAGATAAAGTAAATTTAAAGATAATTTAGGTAAATTCATAAACTTTTATGGGTAGTTACTTCAAAATATTGTACTTAGAAAAAAAAAACCTGAAAAAATAATGACTTAAAGAGAGAGAGATGGAATAAAATAATAGGAAACTTCCGTATTTACTATAAAGTGTTAGACCACTTCCTGCATTAAAAAGCTAAAATGAATAGTGTCCATGTAAACTGTTCCATTTCCTATACGTACTACTTTGTTAAAAAAACAATATTACTTTTGTTGTTTTTATTGTAGAAAGCACATGTTGCCGTTAACTAACTCACGATGTCCAAACCCCATTATATAGACTAAATTACTTGTTTAAGCTTTGTTACCATTCCCAATTTTGGCCTTTGTTTAATATTGTGAGATAAGCTTTTCAAATGATATAATATTTTTTTTATAAACTTTTAGAAGGATTTAATATTATGAAAAATATTTTTTATTTAATAATATATTTTTTATACATTATATTTTGTTGATATTTGAATATTTTGAAAACCTAATTTGAAAAGTTTATCCAAAAATATAAAATTATTTAAAAAGCTTATCCAACAATATTAAATTGAGGCCTTTTTGTCATCGGCAAACACTGACAGGCATTCTACACAAATTTCATACCCCTTTGTGAGCTGCCTTTCATTTCTAGCACCCATTTTGGACAAATCCCTCTCTAAATATGTCATACCCTGATTATTCAGTGTTACCATACCAAAGGTTGTGTCATATGCAAGCACCAATCTACAAATCTCACTGTCCTTTTTTCACTTAACGTATTTGCACAACTTCAGAATTTTTCATATAACCACCAACTCTCCCCACTCTATTTTTGAGCCAGCTTTCAAGCAAGTATTTCAGAAATCATATCTCTTTCAATTTGAAGACCTCTCGTGACCTCAGCATAGAACTGTATCAAACGTGCTCCAAACATTCCAAGCTTATAAAAAGATAGACACTTGGATGAAAAAGAAAATTTGATGGAAAGAATAGCTGCACTTGATAGTATGCTTTAATTTAATTAAAAGACTGTTAGATAGCTTATGGGACAGTACTAGCTCATGTACCAAAAAAAATGTGTGTAGCAAAATATGTCATTGACTCCATCAAATCAATTGGTTAGAAGACAACATTTATTATCTAATAGGGGATCTACTTAACAGTATTTAAAAAAAAAAAAGATATGTTATGTATTGTCATACAGGTACTAGCACTACAAAAAAACACTTATGAAATTTACACCCTTGTAAAGCATGGACAGGCTTTGGAGATCCTTAAGAAGAAATTTGGTACGGAGTTCAGTGTTTTTATAGAGTTTAGAGAAAGAACTTCACATACATATTTAGTTGTGAGGATCAGAACAATTGGAGATCACATCAATATTTATCTGTACTTGTCTTCAATAATTTGTTTATTACGTCTTGCAGACAACACGATTCCAGTCTATTGCTGGTATTATCCTTAAGTAGTCTTTACCAGTCCATAAACATCTCAGCTACTTATATCCATCAATGGTTTCAAGATATCCATGCCAACTAAAATAAACCACGAAACAATCTCATGATGGCCGAAGTCAATTTAATCAGCATCACACTTGCAACTAGGTAATTTAGTGTTCAACAAAAATATGTTATGCAATGTCTCTGATACGTTTCATATCACTTTCATTGAATCTAATACAATAATTGAAAAGAATAAATGAGTTCCCCTACAAAGTGGAATTTTGTCAAGTTTAATGATACCAAATTCCCTCTATGTTTCTGTGCTGAATTGGCAGTTCATAATCCTTTCATTTATTAGCCTCGCAGGGTTAACCATGGCATGACAGACCTTAGCCTTGAGTGCATGGTTCCCACCAGCCTTTGGGTTGTTTGATATGTGTAAAGTCTGGAGGAAAAGGCATGTATTAAAATAGATTTTACACAAGCTAATAAGATCATCATACTAGTGTTTTGAGAATAGTGGGTAGATCAGTGAGGGCTAACTTTTGGTAAACCAGTTTCCAATGGTGTTTATTCAGTCAAATGGGAATATAGTATGCTAGAGTGAAGTACCAAATGTTGTCCATCGTCACTGATTTAGAACTTGGTGGTGGGAAGATCTCTTTTACAATTTGTCTCTGTAATGTGAATCAGAATGAGACCAATGACACTATTCATATACACAAACATTTAGCCTTAATACAAGTAGGTATTTTAAAATGGGTTAACAACAGAGGCACATATTTAAGAACCTAGGAAACGTACATTAATTTCGTTAGTCATCCTTTCCATAGAATTAGTTGTTTTGTCTGGCAAAAGAATGCTTTCAAAGTACACATTTAATGTTTTTAGCTAATGCATCTGCTCTAGTAAATGGAAGAAATTGTTATTTTTATATTTTTAAAACCTAACCCAAGGAAAAACTATTTGAAATTATATACGACATGAAAAATATGTTACTGGTCAATAATGACAATAATGTTATGATGATGATAATGATTAACATGAAAAGGTTTGACTGTGAAATGAGTTAAAATAATAGTCTTGATGCAAATGTTTAACATATAGTTAGATTAATTCTGATTTTCTGTTGAAAGACATATAGATACAGTAGATGGACAGACAGACACACATACAGAGAGGTTGGTTTCTTCAGTCGAGTTGGTCATGATGGAAAAGCTACATCAAGTTGCACCTTTGTGTTATAGGACTCTTTTAAAAGCCCCATAGGTCAATCACTGTAATTCAGCCATAAAAATGTCAGGGAGCAGTGTATTTAATTTCTCTATAAAGAAGAACTTTAGTAAACTGCACCCGTACATCGTATCACACTATGTAAAGTAAGTATGCAGAGGGCATTAAATAGTAAGTAATATGAGGGAGACTGCCTTGGACCACATAAGAAGAACAGTACTCTGTGCTCTTACTAGAGAGAATAAGGTTGGGTGGCCTTAATTTTCTACTATAGCTTTGATGCCTTGAGCAAGCTCTTCCATGGTACGCTAGTAAAAATAGTGAGAAGGGAAACTTTAGTAACTGCTCACTTTTTCAGTAATGCTTAACAATAAAACAGTTGCATTGCATGTGGTTAGAAAGCACGAACCATATAGTGCTAGCTTTGTTTTAATATAAAATTTAGAATTTAACCATGTAACAAGTCTATGAAAACTGTGTGATCACACAGTCTGTCACTTCAGTGGTGGGATAGGACATTTGAATGGCCTTGCCTCTCATGAAATATATTTCTGACACTCTCAGAAGTAAACAGTCTAAAGTTGTCATGGCTTGAGAGAATAAAGGTAATTAAAATAAAGATATTACCCAGGCTATTATTTGTCTTTTACGTTTTCCCAATAAATCTCTCTAAGACCTTTTTATCTCCCTATGCACACCCCTTCTTACCATTAACTACAACATGAAACCAAGCTAATAATATCAATAAAACTATTATATCTATAAGCAGCTTATTTTCATTAACTAATTATATCTCTTTAGTTCCGGCCTCCTTCCATTTACTGGATTCTCCTTCAGATAATTTTACAAGTATGACCCAGGATTAAGATTTGAGGATTCCACATATTGTAGCAGCATTTGACAATATCTTTGGTGGTATTATTACTTGATCTTGGCAAAGCAGTGAGCTTGTCATGCTGGTTCTCCTGTTTCATGTTACATGTTGTATTTTTTTTTTTTAATTTAAATAATTTCTGTCCACTTATGGGGTCATGGCAGATGGTGACTGCTTCTCTTGTATTGTGGTGGCCCCAGTCAGGGAAAGGTAGTTTTTAGTGACTTAAACTTTGTCAACGCTAACACCACCATCTTATTCCATGAGGTCCTCTCCAGCATCTTGTGCCTAATCTGCCAGGAGGCGATGTGAACGCTGTTCTCTCGCACATGTGCGAGATTGCAATACTGATTTCCATAGAAAGAGCCTTTCCCCCCTCAGCCATCATTAGTGATGGCTTAGGGTTTGACAATGCTTCATGATAGCAAGCTTTTGTCAACCTTTGTCAGGTGAAGGAAAAATACATAAACACAAAGTAGTCCCTACTTTGTCCTGATATATTTTGAGTGGATTCTAATTCCAGAGATATTCTGTCTTCATGAGCATTTCATAAATGAAATCCACATGCATTTTACTCTTAAATTAGTTGATCATCTTTCACCATATATTGGGGGAGGAGACAGATCTGCTTTACATTTTGGCAGCTTCCATCAAGTTGTCTCTAGGTCTTTCTGCTACTTCCATTTTATCAGGTCTGCATGGTATTCTTACTTGGTAGAAGCAATGCATTGTTATTAAATTTATGCATGTGCTTACAGGCTTATTCATTCACCTCTACCTTCTCTTAGTTTCCATTGGAATATTTTGCCAAGGTTGGTCATCAATAAAGTCATCAATAAATCTCACTAAATATTTATTCCCAGTGAGAGTAAGGGTCTCAGTAGGCGAAATGCATCACTGTATGAAAGGTTCCATAGGATTAAAAAAAAAAATCGTTGGCTACTTTTTGGAAGTCCATTATGTGCATCCTTGCTGAAGGATGTAGGTTTGACGAACGTGTAAAGATAACCTTATGTTAAATTCCACTTTTTTTATTGCTTCTGTGCATCAGAATTAGTGATGTCGCGAACACGAAATTTTCGGTTCGCGAACGCGAACTTCCGCAAATGTTCGCGAACCGCCGAACCGGGCGAACCGCCATAGACTTCAATGGGCAGGCGAATTTTAAAACACACAGGGACTCTTTCTGGCCACAATAGTGATGGAAAATTTGTTTCAAGGGGACTAACACCTGGACTGTGGCATGCCGGAGGGATCCATGGCAAAACTCCCATGGAAAATGACACAGTTGATGCAGAGTCTGGTCTTAATCCATAAAGGGCATAAATCACCTAACATTCCTAAATCACAATGGATATGGATTGACACCTGACATATGACATATTGACACCTTGACATATGGATTGAAACCTGTCCTCAGGATCCCTGATACACACTGACACAGAGCAGAATAGGGACTGTTCCCCCTACATAGGGTCACTTGGCAGATATGGATTGACACCTATCCTCAGGATCCCTCATACACACTGACACAGAGCAGAATAGGGACTGTTCCCCCTACATAGGGTCACTTGGCAGATATGGATTGACACCTATCCTAAGGATCCCTGATACACACTGACACAGAGCAGAATAGGGACTGTTCCCCCTACATACCAAGTGAAGCAGCTGTGGTGCTAGTGTTGGTGGTGGCGGCAGGCGGGTGAGTGGTATCTTGAGAGGTGCCCGAAGCTAAGCTGGAGGAGGATGTTGCGTCAAGGTTCCGAGCGGAAGCTATAGAAGATTGGGTGTCCTGTGTTAGCCAGTCAACTATGTCCTCAGAACTTTTCAAGTTCAGGGTACCTGGTCTCTGAAAACTGGGCATTATTCTAGGGCAAAAGGGAATCCCAGCACCATGACCACGACGGCCCCTGCAGGGTGGCCTGCCTCTGCCTGTCATTTTTTTTTCGATTAGTGGTACTATGTGTGCAAGCTACTGTGACACCAGATATGAGTGGCACTGTGAACTGGCAGAGGTTGGCAGAGTACACGCTGTAGGCCTGACACACCCGCTTGAAGACAACTAACTGCTATTCAATCTATAACAGTGAAAAAAGTTTTTTGTTTTTAAATGCAAGCTATTGTGACACCAGATATGAGTGGCACTGTGAACTGGCAGAGGTTGGCAGAGTACACCCTGTAGGGCTGACACACCCGCTTTGAGACAACTAACTGCTATTCAATCTATAACAGTGAAAAAAGTTTTTTGTTTTTAAATGCACGCTATTGTGACACCAGATAAGAGTGGCACTTTGAACTGGCAAACGTTGGCAGAGTACACGTTGTAGGCCTGACACACAGACGCTTGGAGACAACTAACTGCTATTCAATCTATAACAGTGTAAAAAGTTTTTTGTTTTTTAAATGCAAGCTATTGTGACACCAGATAAGAGTGGCACTTTGAACTGGCAAAGGTTGGCAGAGTACATGTTGTAGGCCTGACACACAGACGCTTGGAGACAACTAACTGCTATTCAATCTATAACAGTGAAAAAAGTTTTGGGGTTTTTAAATGCATGCTATTGTGACACCAGTGAGTGAGTGGTGGCACTAGGCAAGTGGGCACAGTATACGCTGCGAGCCTGACACACAGACGATTGCAGACAACTAACTGCTATTCAATCTATTACAGTGAAATACATGTTTTTTTTTTTAAATGCAAGCTATTGTGACACCAGTGAGTGAGTGGTGGCACTGGGCAAGTGGGCACAGTATCCACTGTGAGCCTGACACAGAAGCTGGCAGACAACTAACTGCTATTCAATCTATTATAGTGAAAAAACATTTTTAAATGCAAGCTATTGTGACACCAGTGAGTGAGTGGTGGCACTGGGCAAGTGGGCACAGTATCCACTGTGAGCCTGACACAGAAGCTGGCAGAAAACTAACTGTTATTCAATCTATTATAGTGAAAAAAGTTTTTTGTTTTTTAAATGCACGCTATTGTGACACCAGTGAGTGAGTGGTGGCACTGGGCAAGTGGGCACAGTATACGCTGCGAGCCTGACACACAGACGCTTGCGGACAACTAACTGCTATTCAATCTATTACAGTGAAAACAATTTTTTTTTTAAATGCAAGCTATTGTGACACCAGTGAGTGAGTGGTGGCACTGGGCAAGTGGGCACAGTATCCACTGTGAGCCTGACACAGAAGCTGGCAGACAACTAACTGATATTCAATCTATTATAGTGAAAAAAATTTTTATTTTTTTTTAAATGCAAGCTATTGTGACACCAGTGAGTGAGTGGTGGCACTGGGCAAGTGGGCACAGTATCCACTGTGAGCCTGACACAGAAGCTAGCAGACAACTAACTGCTATTCAATCTATTATAGTGAAAAAAAAATATTTTTTTTAAATGCAAGCTATTGTGACACCAGTGAGTGAGTGGTGGCACTGGGCAAGTGGGCACAGTATCCACTGTGAGCCTGACACAGAAGCTGGCAGACAACTAACTGCTATTCAATCTATTATAGTGAAAAAAAAAATTTAAATGCAAGCTATTGTGACACCAGTGAGTGAGTGGTGGCACTGGGCAAGTGGGCACAGTATCCACTGTGAGCCTGACACAGAAGCTGGCAGACAACTAACTGCTACTCAATCTATTATAGTGGGAAAAAATTTTTTTTTTTAAATGCAAGCTATTGTGACACCAGTGAGTGAGTGGTGGCACTGGGCAAGTGGGCACAGTATCCACTGTGAGCCTGACACAGAAGCTGGCAGACAACTAACTGCTATTCAATCTATTATAGTGAAAAAAAAAACAAATTTAAATGCAAGCTATTGTGACACCAGTGAGTGAGTGGTGGCACTGGGCAAGTGGGCACAGTATCCACTGTGAGCCTGACACAGAAGCTGGCAGACAACTAACTGCTATTCAATCTATTATAGTGAAAAAACATATTTATTTTTTTAAATGCAAGCTATTGTGACACCAGTGAGTGAGTGGTGGCACTGGGCAAGTGGGCACAGTATCCACTGTGAGCCTGACACAGAAGCTGGCAGACAACTAACTGCTATTCAATCTATTATAGTGAAAAAACATATTTATTTTTTTAAATGCAAGCTATTGTGACACCAGTGAGTGAGTGGTGGCACTGGGCAAGTGGGCACAGTATCCACTGTGAGCCTGACACAGAAGCTGGCAGACAACTAACTGCTACTCAATCTATTATAGTGGGAAAAAAAAATTTTTTTTAAATGCAAGCTATTGTGACACCAGTGAGTGATTGGTGGCACTGGGCAAGTGGGCACAGTATCTACTGTGAGCCTGACACAGAAGCTGGCAGACAACTAACTGCTATTCAATCTATTATAGTGAAAACATTTTTTTTTTAAATGCAAGCTATTGTGACACCAGTGAGTGAGTGGTGGCACTGGGCAAGTGGGCACAGTATCCACTGTGAGCCTGACACAGAAGCTGGCAGACAACTAACTGCTATTCAATCTATTATAGTGAAAAAAAAAATATTTTTTTAAATGCAAGCTATTGTGACACCAGTGAGTGAGTGGTGGCACTGGGCACAGTATCCACTGTGAGCCTGACA